TCTGACGCTCTCCCAACTGAGCTATCTCGGCAACTGACGTTTACTAAGAGAAAATATAATCCTTCTTCTATATACGATATATATATTATCTGTTGTTTATTGCTTTAATTAATATGTATAGGAGAGAAGCAAGTTTGAATTTTGTCTCTGTAGAATATGTAGAATAAGGATAGCCATAAAAAGTGTAGCTGTTGCTTTAAGATCTGATAACAAAGGCATTCTGTTAAATTATGTAAAATTGTTATCAAATTGTTCCTAAAATTAAGCTTTAAAGCTGGATTTGAACTTGTTTTTCATTTCATTCTGATAACAAGACAAAATGTTTTACAATAGTCTTGTTTTTCAGTGTTTACTCTTGCTAGTTTACATCCATAATTATTGGGCTGCTTGTGGCAAAGACCAATCTAAAAATGAGTGGCACCGTCTGTGTAGCAAAAAGACAAAATGGTGGGGCAATCACGCTACCCGTCCCCCCTAAGATGGGACACCTTTTTAGATTATTGATGGCATGGGTCGTGGGTCATTTTAACACTTAGACTCGATTAGATACAGAGGCTTGGGGCATAACTTGGAAATGGCCTACCATATTTTATTTTTTGTCGACTGTTTCGTTAATAAAAGACGTCTACATAAAGATGACTGAAGTCGTTTCTAGTTTAGATGTCTTTTATAGTTACAGCAATGACTATATGGGACAAAAGAAACGAACAAAAAATTGCTCCGAAAAGTCGCTCTTGTATATTCGCAAGCAAAAGAAAGCAACAACAACAACGAGAAAGAAAAGGAAATAAAAAGGACATTGCCGAGACCCGGGATTATTCAGAGCTCATGCGAGCTCTCCGGATTTGAACCAGGGACCTTCAGATCTTCAGTCTGATGCTCTCCCATCTGAGCTATCTCGGCAACTGATGTGTAAGAGTGGAGAAAAAATTAACTAGAACAAAGATAGCACATTTCTTGCACGTTTCTTATATTTAACACCATGATTTCTTTTTTCGACTTGTAGGCAGTGTGTGTAGGCTCTACCAGACGTTCAGACAGTGGGGACAGTCTGGACAGGGCTCTCCATTTCGTGCCACTGGCTATCTGAAACGCCTGGAACAGGTTATGAGGTGGAAAGTGAGTGAAGTCAAAGCCTGCTTGGCTTTGTATCACCATTGCAGACTATTTACTCAATAGAAGAAGTCTATGCAAAGATTTTAATTCATGTTTTGAATTGTTTGAAGAAAGACTCAAGAAGAAAAGCAAGATAAAAATATTGCCGAGACCGGGATTATTTATTATTTATCATTCAGAGCTTTTCCATGAGAGTCTCTGGGAAATGCTAAAAACGTGATAAAATATATTGTGCCGAGACCCGGGATTATTCAGAGCTCATGCGAGCTCTCCGGATTTGAACCAGGGACCTTCAGATCTTCAGTCTGACGCTCTCCCAACTGAGCTATCTCGGCAACTGATAGTATCCCTAAATAAAATAGAATACAATTCAAGACTACTAGATAAGATAAGATAAGTTAAGATAACTTTATTTAGGCACGGTCAAAGTACTTCAGGCAATTACAAAGAAATTGAAAGAAAGAAAAACTCAACTAATGAAATTATAAAATAGAATATAAGAATGAATCTACTTAAATTGAACTAACACTAATCGTGAAAAAGAAAACTTTCTGCTTTACTAGGACGCCGTGTAAAAAAAATACTTTACTCTGGGAAATTATGGCATGGATAATATCCATGATAATGGCAACGAATACTTGATTTGAAAGTTGTCAGTGACGATGCCTGCCCTAAACGGTCCGGTAAACTGTTCCTCAATACCGCGCCACTATAACTGAAACTGTTTTTGAAGGTTTCAGTACGGGGAAGAGGTACTGCCAGTTTGCTTACCGAATTTCTTAAGTTATATGGCGTTAAGTCCATACGATTAAAAACTTTCGAGCTCAAATACTTAGGAGTTTCATTATTTCAGTATAAGAGCCTTACACATAAGAATGGATAAATCGACCTTACTTTGCAGTCAAGTATGCCAACTGAGTGACTAAAAGAGCTCATCCAGGCTAGCATCGTAATTTGAAGAAGTAAATATACGAGCAGCGCGGTTCTGTACTTTTTGGAGCTTCTGGAAGAGGCCCTTATTACAATTTCCCCAAACCGCGCTGCAGTAATTGAGGTGAGGCTGTACAGGAGCGCTTTAAATAGTGAGTAGGGTTTCACGAGCAAAAAAGTTTCTGACGCGCTAAATTGCTCTTATGCCCGAAGCAGCCTTTGGAACAGCCTAAATTCGAAATGAGACGGGAGCATTTCGTCCAGCCGTCGGGTGATCTCGGTCGGACGCGTATTGGGAAATGTAGTGCGAACGTCGCACGCACGGCGCGTCCTGCTTGCCAACCAAACTTCTCATTTGGAGATAATAAAGTACTAAGTTATCATGGCCCTTTTTAAAAGTCGTTGTCACCTTCCAATCATATCAGTTCAAAAGTAGGTTGAGTTTGATCGTCCGGGAGAACGTAGTCCTGAATAGGACTGTTGGTGTTTACAGTGACTGACGTTTCGACAACCTGTGCGGTAGTCATCTTCAAAGTCAAAGTGAGTTGTATCACGTCAGTTGATGGTATTATACTCTGGTTATTGATCTGATTGGTCAATTACGTCGCGATGTTATTGGTCGTCTGTCAGTTAAGCCATGATGTTATTGGCTATGAAGACTCGTAATCAGTAATTGGTACGTTCCGATCCATCTATTGTCAGAGTTAAACAGTCGTCTATTGTTAGTCAAATTGTCAGTTTTCCAGTCATTGTCTCGTAGTTAGTTTTGCTTGATCTCGTCAATAAGTCGTTTATACGGCCCTGGTAACTGTTGGCTACGATTTAGTGGCGTATGTTCTAAGTTAGTAAACCAGCTTTCTAAAGTAAGACGTTGATAGTAGTCTGTAGAACACGTTATACATGTCGCAAGAGTCCCAGCCAATTGATGTTTCGTCTTTAAATGGTGCTCAGTAATGTGATTGTTGACGTCACCATTCCTCGTCGCGCGTTTGTTCACCCGGACGATCAAACTCAACCTACTTTTGAAATGACTCCTGGGCTCAAACCTTTCACAATCATATCAGTATTACAACGTCAAAAACAATAAAAAATACTGCCTCATTGGTAGGAGGCATCCGTGAATTAAGGTGGCTCGATTGGATTTTTTGGGAATACACTTCCCCAATTTAAGCGTTTACTCCGTTGGCATTAACAAAGATATCGGAAAAAGGTTACCACAGCTGTACTACATAAAGATGAAAATTTGCTATGATCCATGTTTTGTTGACTTCGGAGTTGCCATGGCAACGTAATGTTGCCATTAAATTTTTTACTTGCCTTTCTATTTCTTGGTACCAGGGACGGTACCAGGAATTTTTTCCTAGAAATCGCTTAAGGGAGCTTGTACCTCCCTTAGTTGCCTCGATTATGGCAAATTCAACAAATTCTATGAGAAGGTTTTTCAAGTATCATACGCACGTGTACAACTTTAGTAAAAAACTAATTTGCATTCAAAAGTACCCTCGATTACTTTCCGAAGAAATCTTCGAAATATGGTAATGTAGCAGAAATGGGGAAGACAATGTCTGAAGTGTCACCTTTCTATGACTGCCGATAACACTTAGCTCTTTCGAGTCAATAGAGTGTTTTCACATGACGTCACGGCGGCCATGTTGGTGTCCCAAAACAATGAAACGGCGGCCATGTTGGTGTCCCAAACCAATCCCATGGGAGTTGTACTCTTTTCTTATGCAAACGCTTTCTTTTGTTCCAATAAATTTGCATAGATGCTGGCCACGTGAGTGAAAACACTCTATACGTTACCGCTAGGATTCGAAATTTGTTGACTGTCTTGTTTACATTACGGTAATTTAAACTGTCAGTTGCCGAGATAGCTCAGTTGGGAGAGCGTCAGACTGAAGATCTGAAGGTCCCTGGTTCAAATCCGGAGAGTTCACATGAGCTCTGAATCATCCCGGGTCTCGGCAGGAACTTTTCTTTTTTTTCAGTGACTTGACCATTTGTAGGTGGTATATTAATCTGTGTGATTCACTTCCAACCTCGTCCCCAGGGCGCTCTTCCCTGGCTGCGGCCTGGGGACGAGTTATACTTAAGTCTGTTAAGACAACAAAACCAACCTATTGTGGCGAATAAAAGCTTCTTCCTCGCACCTTCCTCACCCCGATTAAAGCAAAAGTATTAATACAAAAAGATAGCGATTATTTTTAAACAGATTTTTAAAAAACTGTTTTGTTACTATGGTTTTAAAACTCTTCTTTTGTCTCCCTTACGTCAGGATTATCTACATCCGCTGTTTTGATGGCATAACCTCTTTGCACTTGTTCGCAAGATAGTTAACTTTTATCAAAAGATGAAATTTAAAAGAGAAAAATTTTAGAAATTTTAATTTCTCTCCCAAAAGCACTAATTGTAAGTTTAATATTCATTTTCTAGTATTTATATTTCACCCAAAGTATGACATTTACAGACAGATCATTATAGATTTTCGTGATTTTATTCCCAGTAGTGATGTTCATTAAAAATAAAATATTATTGTTCACAAAATCATCTATAATACCGAGGATCTTTGAGTTCAGGTATAAAATTATAACTGACAGAAAATAATATTTATAATGAAAGTAGAACTGAGTGGAGTTCAATTTGGTCTGTAATCATATTAGTGATTACCAACTTAATCATGAGTATGATTACAAACTGATTTGGATGACACGAAGTTCTGTTACCAGTTAATCATAACTATAACATTAAGTTTTTTTAAATTACAACACAAGGTATTCGATAGTAAAGAGAAAAAAACATTCAAGTACAATCTCTTAGGTATGACGTGTCCTAGCTACATCGTATTACACTGTCCTTTTAGCGCTGAAATCAACACAGCCAATCATATTTGAGAATTTTGTTATAGTTACGATTAAAAGATTCATTTAAGGCAGAACCAAGTGTTCCACTTTCCCTTATTGTTGATCTTTTTTTGGGCTGGTTTCAAGCTCATCATCAAACTTTATATCAGCAGGTATGTTGACTTCCTTCAGGTTTTGCCTGCTTGGATGAGGTTCGTCTGCGATCAAAACGTGAATCACTTTCAGGCAGGCTTCCTTTGCCTGTTCATTTTCTTCCCAGTTGTCTAACTCGCGGAGGATAATGTAAACATTATTCTTTCTCATTGTTTCTCTTCCAAGTTTGGTGGCACAAAGCTACAAATAAAATCGAGGTGGACTGATACAGTCAGACCAGCATGACGCCTGAGCTTTTCAATAATAACTCATTCATAAACTCAAGAAAAACTAACACCGATAGACTAACTGAACAAATCTGACTCATTTATTCTGCCAAATACAGCAACATAAATGCAAAGAAAATCATCGCTGTTTAAGACTCAACTTGGGCAGTTGCAAAAGAAAACCTGGAAAAAATCAGGCTTACTAGGATTGGAACCCTGACCTCTGCAGGTGCAGCAATCAAGTCAATAACTAGAGATTGATACCATCAACTGATGAAATACAACTAAATTTCACTGTGATCATGTCTTCTGCACAAACTGTCAAAAAATCAGTCACTGTCAACAATAATCCTATTTTCCTTCAAATCACAAATGACATGCTGTTTAGAGACCATTTTGAATAATCAGAATAGTTAGCTTTTGTGGTGTTTAGTTAGTTTCAGTACATGCTCTCTTGGAATTACACAGCAGTAGATGAAAAGTATTAAAATGCAAAAATAGAGCCAAAAGAATCATTCTTTGAACAAGACCAGTATTTGGCCTCATTCACGCATTCAGTAATGACTGCCTTTAAAATGATTCTAAAATCAATGATTTTAAATTTATTGAAATTAATAAATGTAAAAGCTGTTGTAAGTCTTCAGCATATCAAGGATCATGATTTCACAAGTGTGATTGGAGGGGGGGAGGGTACTGCCATATATATTTGCCGCTGTGAAGGGTATGGTTTTCATGCACCTTAGTCTGGGATAAGGTATAGAAATCAGAGAGTTTGGGTCTAGAATATGACATAATTTTCCAGGAAACTGATCTAAGTCTAGACTAAGGAAACAGGAAACTGACACTCAAAAAATTGAAATTGGCAAATCTTAGTTTACCCACAAAGAAAGTTTTGACCTCATTTATTTCTAGAAAATAGCAACTTAAGGATAGGGAGGGATTTTGAGAGTTTAGACTAGTTTAGGGTAGAAAACTTCAGTCAAACTAGGTCTGGTATGGGCCAAGGGTTACAGGGTCCCAGCAACACATTGTACACTTCTAAAGTACCTCCCCCCAGGCTTTTTACCTACCTGTAGTAGGGCTTCAAGCAGCATTTTACGTATGTCAGGATCAGCTTCTCTCTGTTTATCATCACCCAGATACTGCAGATCAGGAGGTAGTTTTTCCATGTCATCTTCAGGAAATTCTTCAGGTCCAGCAAGGGGAAGTAACAAGTGTGGCAAGATATCCACAGCATCACTTAATAGCCATTCATGATATTCTGAAGGAAAAAAAAATTTGAGAAGTAGTCAGTTACTTCATTCCAAAAGGGTGAGTCTCTCAAGGGGTATTTCTGAAGAAATCGAAATCACGACAATCGTTATTGATGAAATGACCAGCATAGAGATTATCAAAAGCTGCTATTGCATTGCCATTCCCGGGGTTTTTCATTAAGAATCCTAGTTGCGGGAGAAAGGTGTAACATCACAGGGAAATATTTTGAAACAGGTTCCACATCTAAATAAAAAATAGTCATAAGCTACCAAACATTAGTCGGAGAATTCTGCGTAGTAAATTGAGAATTCTCTGATCTCCGATGCCTAATGAACACCCTGCATTCCAGTCAAGTTTGACAGCCTTTGTCATTTGATGATGGTGAAGGAATCAGCCAAAAACTGTGCAGCAGTCATTCAGAGCTTTTCTTTTGCTAATAAACCTGTTGCTGTTCCAGAGATAGTGGGGTTGAACCCTCAGGGGAAGGGGGGATGCTCCCTTATGTAAGCCATATAGGAATATATGTGCCACCTAAAAGGAGTTTTTGCGCCGTTTTCATCAGACCCATTTTGGTCTGGAATCAGGTATGGTTTTCGAGGAAACTGCAGGAGTGTATGAATGTATTTATCATTTCAATTTCAAATGAATAAAAAAGAAAGAGAAATATGTGAATTTGAAGTGGATTTTAAGAAACCTTTTTTGTTGGCGTTCTAATCTAAGTAGACTTACTACAAGTCGACCTCTCATAAGTTCTTAAAAGTGAGTGAAGTGAGCTTCAATGCATGAGGTCGTGCAGTGACCGAGCGAGTGACAAAGTCTCAAGGTCGACTTGTTTTGCCTGAATGGATTTGAATAATATTATAAATTCATGAGGGAAAAAAATGATTGACATATGCTGTGTCGGAAGCGTTACAAAACATCATTCACTGTTCTATTGGTCAATTGTCATGACGTCCCATGTAGAATTTTCGACCGATGAATTTCGTGCCAAACAGGTATGAAAAGTCCTTTTAAATCGCATAACCAACCAGGAACAAAAATAAAGGCCTTTTAGAAACTCTATAATCAAAGAAGACTTGCCACAAGTCAACCTAATGAGTGTCTATGCGGGATCTGAAAACGGGTATGGATTTTTGGAAACAGGTCTGAAAATGGGTGTGAAAAATGACATGTTTTCGTCTCAAATAGGGTCAGGATTTGGGGAACCAGGTGGCACACCTCTACCAAGAATTCCAAGGAGTACCCCACCCCCTCCCCCTCCTCCGGGGGGTTGAACCTCAATACCCTCCGGTATGTGCTTTTAGTGTTAATTTGAATGTAAGGTACAAATATGTTGAAAACAAATAAATAATAATAGACACATAAACTTTAATTTAGTTTATGCTTCTTTATTTGATTAATAAAAAGAAAATAGGGAGGAAAAAAAAAGGACTAAAACTGCGGAGAAACTGTAACCACCACCGGGACGCTTCCACTCACCTGTCTCAAAGCAACAATTTTTTAAAGTTCCGACAATTCCTCCCCTTTTTATGACTGAAGCATTGTAGGTGGTGAAAGGCAAAAGCCGTTGGATGATGCAACGATCTTTATCTAAAATAAGGTCTCGAAATTCTTGTACCTGCGTCAAATTATTGATGAAGGTCGCAATATACTGTAAATTAGAGTGAGGATTGTAGTTCTCTTTGCACAATACCTCTACAATTTTGTACAAGCCACAAGCTGCTGAGTTTTTAGTGACTTTTAAGACCTCGCTACACCCGTTTTCTGTTCTGGTGATGTTGGAAAGAATCATCGCTGCTTTTCCCGCGTGTTCGCTGTTTGGTTTAAGCATGTAGACCAAAAATTGTTCAATGAAGTTGTATTGTAAAAGCTTTTCCCCGATCACTTGTTCCGCTGATAAATTCACTAGCGCCGAAAAGGCAACCCCACATGTTCTTAAATCCGAATCTTTAGTCAAATCCAAGAGGCGTTTCAAACACTCGCCATTTTCCTTAAGAAATTTCTTCCCACTATCAGAACCAGAGAGCCCTAGGATGTAATCTAGTGCTATTGCTTTTACATCGCCACGAGCATCTAACGAGAGAAACGGTAGAAGTTCTTTCACCGTGTTTTCATCCACCTGATCCGCCATGATGAACGGATGCACGCCAGGAATCTGGGCCCGACTCGGGCCTGAGAGGACGTTGAGAGNTAGGCGATATTTAGTAGAAGGAGGAGGTATTCAACACTTTCAAATTAAACTCAAATTTTGGCATTACACGACCAACAAGTTTGACTTATAGACGTACAGACACAAACATATGAAACTGTTTATTGATATTGTTGTGAAACGAATTTATCTATTTAACACTGTAAGCCTGAAATTACAGAAAGAAAATAGGATTTCCGGTTTGCAAAAGGGAAAATTTCGCCGGCCATGAAGCGCACCGGAAGCGCGGAAAGAGCGCTCGTGCCAGTCCTACTCCGCATCACACATTAAATGAAGAGCGGAGCGCTCGTTTCACCGCCCAACCTTTACCCGCCCTGGTTGAGAGGTTTAAGTTGAGAGGACGGTTTTGCACCAGACCTTCCCGGTTCATCGTACCCTTCAGCTTCTTTGTTGTACATGCACCTTTTTGTCTTCGAATCTGACAGCTAGTAGTTGTCTGGTTGGTTAATCTAGCTGGAGCCTTTAAAATTTAGAGTGATCTGTATGATGTCTGCTGTCAGGCTCCTAATGAAAGCAATGTTCTGCTTGTCCACCTACTGACATTCTTTCACATGCAAGGCTGGCGACTTTTAAAAGAGAAGTGTCAAAAGAAGGTGTTGATTTCGTGATTTCGTGACTCATTTAAAAGCACTTAAGTTAACGAAAGTTCATTGGCTGACTTATTATTTCTCCATTCAAAGACAATATTTGCATATTTGTGGTCTAGCTTTGTTAAATTTCATTTTCTTTCGACGCCTAGCAAGCATTTCCCGCGGTTTCTTTAATTTGGGCGAGATCGTGTTAGATATTTTCAAGTGCGACCGCATTAGAATCAGGTGAAAATTCATTGAGTCAGCTGGTTCAAGATGTTGAAGAAACCCTTAAGACGACAGGCCACGATCGTCCTGGAAAATAAAAACTTAGCCGAAACTAAAAGGCTTGAAGAAGATGCAAAAAGACAGAAGAACTGGAAGAGATGGGGGCCTTATTTATCCGAGAGGCAGTGGGGAACTGTGAGAGAAGATTATTCTTTTGATGGGTCATGGTAAGACAGCCTTTAATTTCAGCTAAGATTATTTTGATGATCATTATTTGAACGACTACACCGGTCGCGCTGAACGTGCATCAAACTAATGTTTATCTGTCAACATATACAGTGCATTGGTTTTGATTCATTGGTTATCTTTCATTGTTAGCTCTGTTAGCAAAATTTCATGATTATCGAACAATACATTACTGTTGTGATGCAGCGCAAGTAAGACTTCAAAAGTTATATAACTTTTGTCCTGTACCAACTTATTTAGAGTTTATTTGTGACTTCTCGTACACTATTTAGAATTTATGACAGTGAACAAATTATTTAGTTTCTTGGTTTGTTTATGAGTGACTATTAAATTTTAAATCCTGAAAAGATCGGTAAGTTTATGTAGTCTATGTAACAGATCTGGTGTGTACTTTGTTTCACCTATATTGGCCCAACATTGGACATCCTAATGCAAATGATGTCATAAATATTATAAATTAAGATTTTGGTCAGATATAATGTTGCAGTTAATTTTTATTTTTCCTTGTTTTCAAATTCATTAGCATACATTACCATACCCAAAAACAATAGAGCAAATGTCGCAATAAATCTTGTTTATGTATATATAAAAAAAAAAAACAATAGAAAACTAAAAATTAACTGAGATAAAAAATAACTGCAAGTAGCAACATATATGTATGTCTTGTTTGTATATTCAATCATGTCAAGTTCATTTCAGTTTTCATCACAAGAATGAAATTCCTTTTAAAACAGAAACAACTGGGGTATCTTAATTTACTACAGTGTCTCAGATATTGGCTTGTTTTATAAGCACAGGTAACGCAACCATACCATCAGAGACTCTAAGCAATAGCTAATTAATTATTTACACAGCAATGATAAAAGGGCGTTAAATGAGAATTTATTCTTTGCTCTAAAAATGAGTGAAATTATCATTACTTTTTTTCATTTTAAGCTTACCTTAAGCTTTTTCTTGTGTTTATTTGTGTGCTGATAGTGTTTTAGGCCTCTTAGGCACATTTTATTAAACATTCATGCCTTTTTTTAGGCAACAGTTGGTGAAAAAACCACGATGATGTTTGTTGTGGACAAACATCTTTACATTTTATTATTTTCTTTTCAAACTTCAAGTTCTCTCCTTACAGCTGAGACTTTGATTCTCATTTTATTCTTTTTTAATCTAAGTTCTCTTTCCACAGTTGGGACTCTTTTTCTCATGACCATGCCCGTTCACGCGCTTATCGGTGGGGAGAGGATGGTTTACTAGGAATCACAGACCGGCAGTGCCGGCTGTGTTTTGGGTTGGCTTTGTGGAATGAAAAAGATCCAATTCTGAAAGAAAGACTGTTTGGTTTGACTGGAAGTGAAGGTTGGAGACATTTGTATTTTTCTCTGAATTCTTTAGATTGTTTTGATGTAACAATCTCTTTATACATGTAGTATAATAGCAAATAAAATAATACAACTACCATAGATAACTGAGGGTGGGGCCTATTAAAAACTGTGAAAATGCCAAAAAAAAAAGAAGAAAAGAAAAACAAAGAAATCCACCTAAAAAGTTAAGCTTTACTTGAAATTCAGGGAAAACTGAAGGCCCCAGAGTTTAATGATCAAAAAGGGCTAATTCACATATTTCTCTCCAGTTTTTGAATGAACTTATAACAGTCCTTATAGCTGATTAAAGCTGAATTCTTTTTTCACAAATTAACCAACATAGCCAAACAGGAAACAGAGGCAAACAGGAAAATAAAAAAAATCTCTCCTTTTATAGAAACCAAAACCAAACTTCTGCAAAGGGCAAAACTTAAAAGCACCTTTATAAATTTCATTTAAATAAACAAGAGCTGTATGTTCAGATTCCAATGCTGCCACCATGTTATATACTTGTGTCTAAAACAAGTATGTAGACCTGAATAGAATAACTCAAGGTAAAATACTATATTCCAAGTTAAAACAGGAAATGTTATCCAAGGCTGCAAAATCTGAAAAGTAGAATAATTAGAGTTGTTCCCTACATTTCAAAACACTATATTGTACTTTCTGTTCATTTTTTTTTACAATATAGACAGCTACAGCTGTATAATGTCTTGAAGGCCTTCAACTAGCGTACATTTCTAGATTCTTCAATATTTATATCTCCTTAATAAGATAGATTTTTATTCTCGAAGGAAATCATGGTGAAGATGTGAAGGAATGCTACTACTATCTTGATTCAACACCAACTCATTCTTACATGAAGGCCCTGTACAAGTACCCACAGAATGAATATCCTTATAGCTGGCTTGTTGATGAAAATCGAAGAAGATCACATCAAGAGCCTGAATTTGAGTTGAGTGATACTGGTGAGAAAATACTTTTCATTGTTCAAGAAAAACTACCAATAAAATTGACCTCAAGTTAGAATTTTATTGAAATTAGACTGCACCCCTCCTCCATCTTTGTGAAGATTCCAGTTTAGCATCAAACTGTTTTGTTTTTATATACATGTATGGTTTGAGACATCCCCTCCCCTCATACTTTCCAATAAACATCCACTTAAAAGTATTTGAAATTCTCCTGGAAGCTCAGCTACAATGTACAAGTATTTTACATCAGGGCTGTGACTAAGATTTCGAGTTGCTTGGGTGTTACTGGTCAAAATTAAATTCACAGGTTAAAATTTTTTAACCTAGGTTGATTATCTATTTCCTTTGTCCTCCAGCCCGAATTATTCATGAATTAGGGCTAGGAGATAAAGGAAAAAGAGAATCAACCTAGATTAAAAATTTTCACCTGAATTTAATTTCGACCTGTAACATTAATAGGCAGAGAATTGAACTATGATAAAGTTCTTTTGGTTCTACAGTATTTTCCATTTGTTTCCTATGAAAGTGAGTGGGGGAAAACCCCAGTCCCCAGCTCTTATTGACAGCTTTGTACGTGTAATGTTATTCTTTCCTTAGGGCAAAGGGAAGTTAGTTTTTCCCTAAAAATGAAATGATCTGCCAAAGTTGTTTGCACCTGTTCTAGACCTCTATTGTATTAGTCTCTGACCTGCTCTTCCCTGATTGCAATATGAATTTTTGGTCTTCCCTTTGTTTCATCCCTTGCACTGGACTTATCTTTGTAGGTGTGTTTAATGACAGTCGTTACTGGGATATCTGTGCTGAGTATGCAAAGAATACACCAGATGACATTCTCATCCGTATCACAGTAACGAACCGTGGTCCTGACACTGCACGGCTTCATGTCTTGCCAACATTGTGGTTTCGAAACACCTGGATCTGGGGCTGTAAGCATGAAGGGTGTACGCGGAAGGCAAGCATCGTCCAGAAAACTCAAGACATTGTGGAGTGTCGGCATGAAACTTTAGGAAAGTTTTATTTTACTCTTGATGTTGGACCCAACAATGAGATCCCAGAGCTGCTGTTTACTGAGAATGAAACAAACACAGAGGTAGGTCGCCTAACGTATTAGGTGGCTGTTCATCCTGGGGGGGTGGGGTACTGCCATATATGGGCTATATAGGTATGTGCCGCTGTGAAGGGTATGGTTCTCAAGCGATTTACTCTAGGATAGGGTATATAAATCAGAACATTTGGATCTAGAATAGGGTATCATTTTTCATGAAACTGATCAGTTGGTTGAAGATTTTATGTAAACTAGGGATTGTGGTATAAGGTTTTGTTTTTTTGTGCTGATGACCTCAGTAGTTTCTTGAAAACAGCTACTCTAGGATAGGGTAGCAAAATTCAGCTGAACTTAGCTTTAGTATAGGTTAAGGGTTCCAGGGTCCCAGTAGCACATCCCCACCCAGAAATTCCTAAAGTAGCCCCCCCCCCCCCCCCCCCCCCCCCCCCCCCCTCCCCAGCCCCCCCCCCCCCCCCCCCCAGGTGTTCATCTCATCCTTAACAGTTAGCTACCTAGATGGTGTGGTAGAAAGTTGAGGATATAGAGTAGCCATGTTGTTATTAGAAGATTCTAGGGGATGTTTTGTCTTAACAGAGAAATTTTCAAGACACACAATACCTAGGTACTTTATGTGAAAAACACAACCTCCTAAAATCGTAGGTGAGTTAGACAAACCCTGAATATTATTTTAGACAAATGGAACAGTTAGCCTGAATTTTTAAACCTTCCTCAAGCTTTACAAACTTCTAGGCACCTTCAAACAGTTATTTTACAGAAAATTGGTGTTCTGTGTGTCCCTAAGGGAAAAAAAAAGAGAGCTGCACATGGTGTCATGGTATTTCAAATGGATGTTTTGTTGTCCATCTTTGCAGGATCTGTATGGCATAGACAACTACACAACATTCACAAAGGATGCCTTTCATCGCTTTATCATCCATGGTGAAAAAGATGCAGTTAACCCCAAGAAAAAAGGGACCAAAGTGGCTCCTCATTACCTGCTGGTTGTTCCTTCTGGAGAGGAACGAGTCTTGCAGTGTCGACTCATGGCTGAGGGAGATGTTGTGACTGAACCATTTGCAGAAAGAAATTTTGGAGCTGTAATTCAGAAGCGTCTCAAAGAAGCAAATGAATTCTATCATGTTGCCATACCATGTAAGCTTAAACATTTTATCCTCAGCTTGAAAGAGATTTTTTTCAGGGGCACCCAACGAGAATATAGTTCAAAACCACTTAAACATAGCATTGTTGAACGTATTTTAGTATTTAAATGGTAAGCATATTTTTATCCCCTGAAAATTTTTCATCTGTTCGGATTTCCCAGCTGAAAGTCTAGTGATCCGAAAAGTATAGGGATGAAAACTTATCTTTTAAAAATTTCACCCAGAAAAAAGGTTCCCGAAAATTCTAGGTGACCTTTTTAGGATAACTGATAACTGAAAATCCGTTAACAATGGGCAATTATACCATTTTTGGGGGGTTCGAAAATCCTAGGAAAGGCAGGCAAGCAAGAAATTTAACAACAAATGTTCTGAAAATTCTAGATCTCAAATCGTCTTCCGAACATATATTTTCCAAAAATTGTCGTTGGGTGCCCCTGTTTTTTGGTTGACATCGTTACTTAAACCTGGCTGCTATAGGCTTAATTTTTTGGTCAAGGAGGCTTACTTACATGTCAGCCCATCTCTAAGCCCTTTTCAAACTTGCTCTTAGTGATGTTTTTATACCCTTAACCATATTTTTAGATCAAAAGGATAAAAATTCTTTTCAGAACATCCAAGTTAGCAAAAAACTGAGATCCGTTTTTAGACAAGATGGAAAAGATGAGTAGAGTGATAAGTAGTAGGGGTAAACTACCCTTTCATTTGGCTAATAAGGTAATAACAGAGGTCACTTAAACAACTTTAATTATGCGCTCCAACATTTGCCCCTCCTCCTCAAATAACCACCCCATTTTTTAATGTTTCCACTGGAGAATCATCAGTGTGCTAAAAAGTCGTTTTAGAGGAGGAGGCTAGAAACGTCACACTACGGGAGTGACAGACAAATCAGTTGGTCATACTTGTCAGCAGAACTCTACGATATACACTGTAACATAATCTTGTTCCAGGATGTAGACTCTTGCTTGTTTACAGCCCACTTATTGTCACTTGACACTAGGAAATACAAAACCTTAAAAGCAACATGTGTTGTGTGGGGGTGGCACTTTAAAGTGTTTTGCACTCGCCTCAGCAGTAAAGGGCACCTGAACATAGCTTATCAGTGCACAGGGGCCTGATGGCTATACCATACTGATGAGCCCAAACGAGGGTAAGACAGGTATTCGGGATCCGGGATTTGCCTTCTTTCGGGGCTGTGATTCAGGATTAAAAGCAAAATTGGGGCGGGATTCGAGATTGAAAGTATGCATAGGATGCGGAATGCCGAAAATAACTAGCGGATTACGGGATTGAGCAAAAATTTGGATGGAGATCCTCTGCTTCGGTGTCTGAATGAGTCACTTGGAACCGCTTGCTTTATAATATTAAACTAACTCTTGGTTTTGTCTTCATGAGGAATAAAACATCCAGTATTTCAAATCATTGAAATGCTTACCATATTACTTTTTTATGCATTATTGCTGATAAAAAAATATTTGAATAGATGGGTCTTTAAAAAGATAGAAAAAAATAACAAGTGGAAGAGTTGGCAAGCTGATGCTGTCTAAACTTCCGGTTTTCGTAGTTGTCAATAAACAGCGGTGGTTCATGAAATATTTGGGGCGGTGCCAGTAATCAAAATATCGCATCTCAGCTCAGCCAACTTTTCGAGACGGAACGAAGATGGCTAACACTCTGTTGTCCAAACTAGCACAGTTCAGAGATCAAGAAGAATTCATCGATGTGCGTTTACAAGTAAGCGACACCCTCTTTCCAGCTCATCGTATTGTACTCGCAGCAAATAGCGACTATTTTCATGCCATGTTTACGAATGGAATGAAGGAGTCGAAACAGGAAGTTATTGAGCTGAAAGAACCGAGCATTTCATCTGAAGCTTTGCGTGTTCTGTTGAATTCCATCTACACTGGAGAACTCTGTGCTAACAAGGAAAACGTATTTGATGTACTCGCCGCCGCTAACCATCTCCAGATTACAAACATTGTGCACCAATGCTGTGATTTCTTGAATGTACATTTCGTTCAAGATAGGTTTGATTTCCAACGTTATTGTCAGTTGTCTGCAGTCGCCGATAGACATGGTTTGAAAGAATTACAAGAAAATTTACAGCATAAGATGGCTTCAATTTATAAGGATGTCTGCGGCAGTGAAGCATTCCTTTCCCAGATTAACCCGGACCAATTATTGAGCCTTCTTGTTCGAGATGACCTCAGCGCTCCATCGGAGACATTCGTCTTCAAATCTGTGATGCGTTGGATAAATCACCATAAGGAGGAAAGGCTTCCAGTCGCTGCTAAAATTATTGAAGCGGTCCGTCTTGGCCTGGTGGATGTTGGAGTGTTAATTGAGGAGCTAAACACAGAGGAAATCCAGAAAGTTCCAGAAATACACAAAATTTTGATCGATGCGTCTCTCTACTTCAATGCGCCTTCTCAAATGTCAAAGTTTGCAGAGAAAACAAAGCCACGAACTCCAGGCCAGGTAAGGAAAAGACTTTATTTGTCTTCATATTTCCCTTGGTAAACGAATCAAAGATACGCAAAGGATCAGAAAATACAAAAGCACAAACTGAGTTTGATTATATTGCACGTGAGAAAAATTAAATGCCAACTTTTCGCTCTCTGTAGCCTGCTCGGCCAGGCGTGGAGAGCGAGCAGTAGACCACGAGTAGTCCCCATTTTTACTCAGGGATAGTAGAGCGAGCGAAACGCTGCGGGGAGACATTTTTCTCTTTCCCAGCCGCGTCTCGCATATCTCCCTTGGGATGATTTTCAGGGGCGCTCGCGTTTCGCTCGCTCTACTATCCCTGAGGAGAAATGGCGACCATACATAGTCTATGTGAGCAGAGGCCCTTCGATCTTTTTATTTGATAGGGCAGGGCCTTAAACTGAAGGGTCTCTGATCGCAGGGTACGGCGCTAGGAACATTTTGATATAAGCAACAGTGCCAACGGTGTTTTTTACAAATATCTTTGTGCTGTGAGCGCTTGATATTTTCATGATGCACATAAAAAGGAAGTGATTGTTGATCGAAGTGTATCTCTGTAAGCTTACCCTGCGTCCCAGACGTTTTTAAAAGGGAGGCAGGACGAAGAAAAATGGGGAAGGAAAAAGAGAGCTTGGATTTGCTGCTGTCCATCCTTTCCCCGAGGTTTACCTTTCAACACTAAATAATACTATTTTTGCCTTCGAAGTATTTCAAGGTAAGCAGATGGAGAATATCATGAAATATTAAAGATTCGCTTAAAGGTTTGTTGGCTAGAGCCAACCAAGGCTTACATGAATTCGTTTTGTAACAACCATGAATTTCTTAGCAGATTACCAAAGTTTGCACGAGCGCTAATCAAATGATTTACATGCCATTCCTTTTACCAAAGGACTTACTCTGTTTGACAACTATTTCAATAGCGTTACAGCGCGCCTGTGCATTGCTGTTTAATTAATTTTTGACCATCTCTTTGCACCTCGTATAGGTTCTCGTAGCCATATTACCTAAAAGGTCCCAGGCCCAGTACTTTGATGTGGAAACCAAACTCTGGAAGCCTTTACCTTCCATGGCAGTTCTGCCTGGAGGAGATCGTTGTGTTTGTACAGAGGTTGTTGGGAACAACTTGTACGTAGCTGTTAATGACTGCGGAAGTAGCCATGTTTACAGCTACAACATTGACAAAAATCTTTGGGAAAAGCTACCACGCCCCCTTGGTTCAATAAACAGTTTGTGTAAGATGAGTGACTTCTTGTATGCAGTCAGTTCTGATTGTAACACTTACCCGCAGAGGTATAGCTTTGCTAAGCGCCAATGGCAAAGTATTAGTAGAGTATGTTCAATGGGCACGAATCAAGAGAATTTTGTCCGAGAACAGTATCTGTTCGGTTTTTTTTTAGATAATGTTTGTTACAATGGAGCAGCAGTGTTTGATTCAAGGCTTAATACATTTTTTGAATGCACTTACAGTAAATTGGTTTACCATTCCTACACTGGGAGACCATTACCTCATCCAGAAACATGCACAGTTAAGCGAGCTGTGAGGCAGAGCTTTTCGGAGTCAAGCAATTGGTGGATCATACTAAGATCCAACGGATTGAATTCCTATGGATTTACCCCTTTTGTTGTAAACCAAAAACTTTACGCTGCGGGGGGAAGGGGAGCTGACATCCCAGATAGAGAACCTGCTCATGTCTTTGTCTATGACAAGAACAACGTCAAGTGGTCAGATGTGAACCAATATCACATTCCCCCAAACAACCTTGGGGCTGTTGAAATAGAGGGTAAAGTGTATTTCATCATTAACAAATTTCTTGTCGACAGTGGTATTAGAATCCCATCCACAGAGCTTTATCCTGTTTGTTTGAGTGATTGGGAGGGTCTTAGACACGTTAGCGCAAATGCAGCCTTATGTTATCTTCCATTGAAGGAGGGTATGAAGGGCTGACATCGCGAAAACGCAAAGCCGAGTAATTTATAGGCCATCACTTATATACACAGTTGTAATGAAAAAGCATTTTTAAATCATTGCAAGTTGAAAAACCAGCTTATCATTATTATGGTAAAAATAAGTTGGAAAATGCACAACTACTACAGGCAAAAAATATCTCTGAATGGCTCAGCAGATAAGTAGAATTTTAGACAAGAAAGAGATGCATCCACTGCCTAATGCAGGAGACAGAGCATCTGTTTTTAAGCCTCCTTTGACAGACAGCTCTTATGTTTTGAATATTCTAACTCTTTGTTGAAGGGTTTAAATCAGTAAAATCAAACCGTTATTCTTGCCCCCGTGGCTTTGAAATACGCTACCTATGAATTTTAAGTTCCTTTATTATCAGATTTTCTTGTATCTTGTTTATAACAATCGGAACGATAACATGTATTAACAGTTTACTGTAGCTAAGAATGACTATGCATGATTATATTCGTGGTACATGCTTTTAGTAGGAGTGATATGGACATCTAGTTTGTGAATAAATGAACAGTTCCCTATGTTGGTGTGTAGTATTTTAACCCCCTCCCTCGGTTCAACACCTTAGACAGTTTTCCTATTTATTTCATAAGACTTTATTCACCGTGACATGGAAACAGGGCGAAAAGCATTGCTTGTTGACAATCCGTAGCCCGTAAATTTCAACGTTTCACACGCAAATTTGTGCAAAACTGCGAGGATCATTTCTTTTCATAGCTTCATACCCGCAGTTCATATTTTTTAACTTATGTACGTCGCCTACGTGCATTTAAAACTTATTGAGTTGATAAAATTGAGTAATTTCATTTACTGCATGCAAAGTATCAAAAATAGTGAACTTTTTTCTTCTGTTTGACTGCGCTTTACAGTATAGATTCATTGCCATTAGCAGAACATCTTCTGTGTGAATACTAGGAATGGATAATCGATGTCATCGAGAAAAAACGGTGAATTTCCCCCTCTCCCCCCCTTACATTTTTTCCCTTTCCCCTCCCTTCTCGCCTCCTCGTAGCTCTATACCCCATCCGGCATGGTGGAAATATATTTTGTGCTGTCGCAGTGAGAAACCAAAAAAAAAGATAGTTAAACGTCAATTGGTATTGATTATAGTTGAGCATTGGTGCTTTCTTTGGGTGATGGGATTACGAATTCACAAGCAAATAAGAAAAGCGTTACGAGAGTCTGCTGGAAATAAATCTTTTCTTCTAGGTTTAAGCAAAGCATACGAAGTAGTTTTAGAATTTATCCGTTTAACAGCTTAAAACTAGGAAAGTGTCGGCTTCACTTTTCAACTTGTAGTCCACCTCCACCCATGCCTAGTCAAAAATACTTTATAACAGTACCAGCAACAGCGTGAAAGAACAAGTTTGGATTTCTACTGATGCAAACACTTCTGCTGAATTTTAAATATATATTTACAGCACAAGAGAACAAAACACTGTCATCTTTATCGGTGAGGTTAAATTTTGTTTCCAAAGTTATTCCTCGAATAAAAGCACTCGGTTACACTAGCAGAAAGGTTAAAATCAAACTTAACAACATCGCAAAAAGCCACTTAGAAGAATCAAGGCGTTGCATTCAATAGGCATAGACGAGCCACCCAAATCTATTAAGACCATGGTTTGTGATTTAATAAACTAATCGAGTGGAGAGTTCATGAGCGGGGGAGCAACTGTGACTTGCGCAGGAGCAACCTTGACTTGCGCAGCCTCAGTTTTCATTCTCTTCATTTTTTCAGCTGGCTTGACTCCAGAGGAAACCGAGGTGTCTCGTCAGTCCTACGCTGGCCTGTTGTGGAGCAAGCAGTTCTATCATTACATCATTAAAGACTGGTTGACTGGTGACCCGGAGATGCCGACCCCACCCCTTGATAGGTTCAATGGAAGGAACTCTGAAGCAGAGTGGAGACAGTTGTTTAACAGAGATGTTGTATCCATGCCGGACAAGTGGGAGTATCCCTGGGTAGATTAAGTTCCCATACTGTTATTTCTTGCAAGTGTTGCAACGCCAGAAAGCGTGCTATGCTTTTTTAGCTAAAAATTTCTCTGTGGCATCATCTGCGCAGCGTCCTTAAAATATGTGAAATATTTCAGCTCTAAAATGCGTTTTAGAATCTTCATCGTTTGTGCAAACGAATAAATGTCCAAAATGGAAAAAAACCACCTTATTTGAGTTGTCAATGTATTTAGCACTAAATAGGGGCCACTCTTTTTACGTTTTCATCTGGAGGCGGGACCGCCATTTTACGTGGTCATCTGAGCCACGCGAAGGCCTAGCCATTTGCAGGGCAAAGTAAGTTAGTACCTTCATTTCTCAGTTATTTTAAGACCTTGAGTATCGGTCCGGCCCCGGGAATCGAACCCCAACCTCCCGCTTTGCAGTCTAGCGCTCTGCCGACTAAGCTAATCCTGCCGCGGTTGGAAAAAAAACTTCATCTTGTCAATGGAAAATGCAGTCTCCTGTTGAAAGCCAGAGACTGTCGTTGGAGAGGTGTAATCAACTGTAAAGGTTTTGATTCCATTGGGAAGATGTATTTTTAGGCACGTCGAAACCCTATCATGCTTGTTTTTTTATGCTTAATGTTGCTTTCGAACCAAAGCGCACTTCTAATCTCACTCCAACTCTTTCAGTACGCCACTTGGGACCTCGCTTTCCACATGCTTCCCATGAGCAAAATAGACCCTCAGTTTGCAAAAGATCAGTTAATCCTATTCCTTCGAGAGTGGTACATGGCGCCAAATGGCCAGATGCCAGCTTATGAGTTTGCCTTGGGTGATGTGAACCCGCCTGTTCATGCACTCGCATGTCTTATGGTCTACAAGATGACGGGACGCAAAGGAGCACGGGATGACGAATTCCTGGCGCGCTGTTTTCAGAAACTGCTTATTAATTTCACTTGGTAAGGCATAAATGTCCATTATTATTTATTCAAAATATTTCTTCGTTGCTGATTGACTAAAAACCCACGCGTTATATATCATAACCAGTTACTGCCGACCAAATTTGGAAGAATTTTGAGATATGTGAAAAATGACGTCAATTGTGCGGCTTAATGGCCAGAAAACTGAACAGCTGGGGACGAGGTTGAGTTGTTTTGGTAGTGAGTACAAAATGGCGGAATATTTAACTCGTTTCATGAGGAAGAAATGGACGAACTATTGGCTAAAAACATAACAGGAACAGGAGGAGAAGCGTGAAGAGGAAGTAAACCTTATCAAGCTCTTGTGTTTCTTTTTCATTTTCTTAGGTGGGTGAACCGGAAAGATCCCTCTGGTAAGAACATTTTTGGCGGGGGATTTCTTGGTCTTGATAACATTGGTAAGGACACTTGCTCCATCCTCTAGTCAAATTGTGCTTAGACTTGAATCGTACGTAACTTACTTAACTAGATTTATTATTAAAGGTTGCTCTGTCTTTTTGTAGGAATCTTTGATCGGTCCAAGGATTTGCCAATCCACGCCTTGCTCTTACAGGTGCCATTACTCAATCTTTTTGTCATCTTTCGGTAATGTGACATATCCTACGTGTACTAATTAATCTGCTCTTTTTCTTTAAGGCTGATGGTACAGCGTGGATGGCGTTCTATTGTGTGATAATGCTCAACATCGCTTTAGATCTCGCAATGCAAGACGATACCTACGAAGACATGGCCTCTAAGTTCTTTGAGCACTTCACTCAAATATCAGATGCTATTAACCAAATGTCTGACGGTGTGGGCTTGTGGGATGAACAAGATGGTTTTTACTACGACCATCTTAGTACGGGCACTTGCTCTTTAGCATTACGCGTACGCAGTATGGTTGGCCTCGTTCCTCTTATGGCTTGTCTTGTCCTTGATGACGAGTACATGAAAACACTTCCCGGATTCAAGAAGCGGCTTGACTGGTTTATGAAAAACAGGAAAGACTTAGCTTCTCAGGTTAGTGGCTCGAGTGTTATGAAAAAAGTCCTGTATTACATGTTTACTGACATAAATAAGACCTTCATGGAACTGTCGTTAGCGACCATTTAATGAATCTAACATGGAAAGCATAAGTGTATAAACTCACTACATGTATTTAGCAAAAACTATAGATGGCGACCCTCAGTACGAGTAGTTGAGTACGCTCGAGGAACCGTTTAATTCGCCGCTTTCGCTCTCCATAGTAACGTTTTCCAACGTAGCAGAATAACCTGAGTGGTCCGCAGGTCAGGTCTATGTTCTACGTTCTACTTTAACCACATACGGAGTTGTATCCCTCGGTTGTCCCGGACCATACTTGTAAGTAGTAGGTAACTAGTTTTACCCCTACCAGGTGAAATTCTAACTTGAGTTATCGTTTCAGTATATTTGCTTGTTCCCTTTCCTCTTTGTGTTCTTTTTTTCTTCGTCTGTGTATTGATTCATAGATAATATTCCGTGGAAGGTTCCAAGCCATGTCTGTTGGCATGTGATACATAAAACAAAAACCGGAAGTCTATTTTGAATTACACAAAACATGGCAGTCAACTGCTGTAATTAAAAGTGTCACACAGCTTGGTCTCCGTGTTTTCCCGCCATGCACCAGAAACTTAAAGTCCAAGCACAGTTCCTTCCCAACTGATTTTCCCGCCATTTTGTAGGTATCGTACATGGAATCACATGGCGAAAGCGAGTACCATCATTTACTGGCCATTCCCACCAAAGACCAACTCGTCCGCGTGCTCAGTTATATGTTAGACGAAGAGGAATTTCTGTCACCATACGGCATTCGTTCTCTGTCCAAGTTTCACGAGAAGAATCCATATAAACTGGAGCTGAATGGCGAAGTTTACAGTGTGCACTATGTCCCAGGGGAGTCGGACACGTACATGTTTGGCGGGAACAGCAACTGGCGTGGACCTATCTGGGTTTGCAGTAAGTACCGACTGTAGTATAAACCACCAAGTTTAAAGAATTTTGTAGTGTTTGTACCGAAAGTTGCGCTCATTCGTTGAATGACATTAGACGGACTGTGGCCTTGGAAACAAGATCTCCAGAAGAAGCGAATTTCGGCGCAATATGCGCCAACTGGTTGACGACCTTCGAACTAGTTAAAAAAGCACGTTTATATTGTTATCAATAAAGGTACACGTTTATTAATCGCAGCAGGGTTTAATAATAGTCAGTTTTTGTACAGCAAGTCTGCAGAGAGGCTGCAGGGCGGGATATCGCGCATGGGTTCCATTCTTCGCTTGGAAAAATGCCCAGGGCCTTAAAATCACCAAGGAAGAAGATACCGCCTTTGAGACATATTGATGACTATTCGGGAGTGGTACTTGCTTATTCTGGCAGCGCCAGGGGAAGTAGCAATACTCCTAGGCTTGCTTCATGCTACGGAAACCGGTATAAGCTCCGGCCGTGTGGGCCTTTGGCTCGTGTGCGCCTTTACCTACCTTTGTTCCGGTCAAGTCGCTACAACTTATCACCTTTCTCCAGCTTACAGCATTACGTAATCTAATGGTCACTGAATGATGTGTTTGTTCTATTTTCAGTGAACTACCTCCTCATAGAGGCCCTACAACGCTACGACTATTTCTTTGGTGACAAATTGATGATCGAGTGCCCCACCCGGTCGGGAAATCGCATGCGCTTGCGTGATGTTGCTCTTGAACTGAGCAGGCGCGTGGTGTCTTTGTTTCTGCCCAATGAGAATGGACGAAGGCCATGCCACGGAGATGATGAGAGATACGCCAATGATCCACACTGGAGCGATCTGGTGTTGTTCTACGAGTACTTCCATCCAGAAACAGGACGAGGGTGTGGTGCTAGGTAAGTAATAAGGTTCCAAGCGTTTTATGTTGTCTTACTAACCTCTTTTACCACAGAAAAATTCATTCACCGACTTTTCAATAATAACTACCACATTGAACAAAAGGTCAGGTGTATGGTCAGATACATGGTACCCCGAAAAAATCGATACCCTCAATAGATGTCATTATCATGGTCTGCGAGTGTCACACTTCAAATTCTCATCCATACTTTAGTACAATTTAGAATGACATTATTTGATTTAACCTGAATGTTGGGCGTGTTTATTGTTACATGGAACACGCACCAGCCATATGGCATAACTACGCACCTTACTCCCCTCATTCACCGTGCCATGAAGTGGAGTGGGGGAGGGGTGGCGGTATGTACACCATTTAATAACAATGTTCACCTAATTGTATTTTCTTTCTTTCTCATCAGTCACCAGACAGGATGGACTGCCCTAGTCTGTCGTCTACTAGAAAAACTCGCCAAGAATCGCTAACAATGTACCAATTGGGTTACTGATCCCATGAAGTTACATCATAGTTAACAAACTTACGCACTGACTTTACGTACTTTCCTTGAACGTACGGTGTTTATACATGTTATATATTTAACTAATCATTAATAGATTTGTAAACAAACAAACAAACCAAAACAACGGTGGGGTTATCGGTGAACGTTTGCGGTAGCCTGCGTAGCATGACGGTTTGGGTTGGGCGCAAAGTAACAAAGGCGGGCGAGGGCAGAGAAACCGCGACGTCATAGATTTTTCACTGTTCCCCTCAGAGACTTCTGGCGCGAATCAGTTTGTTCATCGTTAGAAATCATTTGACTTCGAGGTAGCCGATTAACGAGACCGCAAGATGAAAGAACAAATTCTAGCTGTTCATCCATTTCAGTGGAATTCCTCCATCCAATGATTTCTAAAAGTGTATACACGCGCGGTTTTGTATATTTAACATGTTGCAGTTAACATGTGCAGCCCACTGTCACTTGGTGTTATGTTTTTTTCGTTTAAAGAAGCGTGCATATATCTTTTCCACGTGGAATATATTTACGTAAATTTAAGGGTTAAAATATTTTCAGGGTTTTCTATGAGTCATCTTAGGGTGTAATATTTTCTCCTGGTTTTCGCAGGTTTTTATAAAAAGGTATTTATTTCCAAACAAACAAGTAGCTTCAGATTCGCGTCGTAAACCGCGCATTTTGTGGAGGATTTTCATTCACCTCTTGCAAATTTTAATTGTTTTAACGTAAGCTTTATAAACTGAAGGTTAGACCCGAGATAATCTTTGAACCTATTAATTTGCACTGGCTAGTTACAAAGCTTGATAAATCATGTTTGGTAAACAGAAATGTTTACTATGATTAGCTTCTTCAGGTTTATTTTAAAGTTTATTTGTACATATTAAACGAGAATAAATTTGTGTTCAGTGTAACGTCTCCACTGCATTCCTTACTTTAGACAGAACACTCTACGCCCATAGAGACTCATGAGGAGTCAGTCGGGTCGGCATAATTCCGCTCGTGCTTTGAAAATTCCGTCCTTCCGATCCGTCTGACTGTCCCTTGGCTTTAGAACCGTGCGGAGCGCGTTTTTACTTACTCCAATTATAATGCCGATGCAAGCATACTATTAAATGACTTCCTATGGCGAACCCTTGAAACCCAGCGCCTAATTTATTAGATCTCATTACGCAACGATGTTGACTGTTGTATAAAGTCTTGCCCGCCTTGCGCCTGATTCGCTGTCTTCTAAATTTATGCATTGCAGCGATATATTTAATTCCTATAATCTTAAAGATTTTAGTAAGCTTGCTGATCCCTTGCCACGAACCAATTACTTCAGAAATAGCTTCTGCTACAACGAGACTGTTCTGTGGAACAATTATTTTCCCTTTGTTATGGTCAAGCAAACTCTTTGACTAGCTTTCTGCGCCTGTTAACTTCTAACTGAAACACGGCATTCATGGAAAACAGGCTACAATTTTATTTCATTTATTTTATCTTTTTTTCAACATTACATTATTTTTAGTGCTATGGTAGTATTCAAACCTTGAAGCAGGTGAAACAAAACTCATAAATTATGAAACATGTGAGTTGTACCGTTTAAGGCAATAGCCGAATTAGGTCATAAATGTCTCGAACAGCACCCAAACTAAAATTTGAACCCTTAAACAGCTGCATCACTTGACTCAATGTTTGAATCATAAAGATATTTTAATGTTATGGTTCTAAACACCTTAAGCCGTAATGAAAGAAGAAAAAAGTTGTGAAGAACCAGGAAAAACGGCGGTCTCAAAGTGCCCTTCTTTGACCTTTAGAAATGTCCTGTTTAAAAGTCAGAATCTCATTGGTTCCTAGAATCAACCCATAGTAACTCCCACCTTATTGGCTTAACGCCCTACAACCCACATAAAAGCACACACAACCACAAAGGTACATACGCTCCATCCTCGAAGACCCTGGGGCAGCTAGTCGGGGGGATAGAATGTTCATGGTGATAGTTTATTTAAAGCTCTTCTAGATATTATAGTTTAAACTTTCAGCACGAACATTCTATTGTCCCGACTAGCTGCCCCTGGGTCTCCGAGGATGCATACGCTCATACCACTCACATATAAGCTATTTTGGAAAAAAAAAAGCTCAAAAAGGACTAATCAGGGAATTTCAACACTTGCCAAAACGGCAAGGTCTTGCGCTTACAAGTTTAAGCGTATATTCTTGGTAACGTAGATGTCATCAACTACTTCATTCAATATGAATAATATATTAACAGCGGATTAAGAGGTACCTCCAAAACAGTCTTATCATCCCTGCGGAATTTGAGGCGAGCGCCCCAACTTTGAACAAGTTCAAAGAAGAAGAACATTAACGCCTCACCTTTTTCATAAAATAGTTTGAAAAAAAATGTTTTTAAACTATCACTTCTGATTTAGGCGATCGTGAACAGAAATTCAGAGAATTGTCCCCTTTCTACACAAGTGGAACATTTAGACACGTCGTCAAAGTAGAAGTTGACCCCAGAGTGTTGCACACAAGTCTTCCCACCCTCTCCATACCAGGTTAGAGCGGCATCTATGTTTGCCTCAAACACGTACCTGGTATTTGCTTTTAACGCGATCGGAGGTTCAAACTCAATATCAAATCCTAGATAATTTCCTATTTCACTCTCCACGTGTTTAGACAAAAATTTGGCTTGTTTGGTGTCGCCGAGTATCATGTTACCGCCCTCTTCATACATATCAAAGCTGGACAAACAAAATTCATTGTTTTTGCTTGCAAAGAGACGAACTGTGCACAGATTTATGTCTTTGTCAAAGGAAAATATTATATTGTCGATCCATTAGGATGAATGTGTCCACCCTTCCACCACCGATGAAAACCTAGAAACTCGACGCACAAGAGGATCTTTTCTACTTTCTATTGAAAAGTCAAGTGAAGTATTCGGTACAGAGTTAAAATACTTCACCAAGTCACAAGTCTCTTTGTGAGTGAGTATCCCACAGTCCAAAACAACGCCTGCAAACCCTTTTTGTTCCATCACGGGGAAACGTATTCCCTTGACGATCCTTTCTCCGAGAATCCTTCTTTTCACTGATCCTTCCGCTTTGAGGCCCTGCTTTTCACATTCCATTCCAGCCCAGCAATCGACAGCCTTGAACAATTCCACCTCCTTGATATTTAATGAATCTCTTTCCACTAATTCTTCAAGTACTGACCTCTCGATTGCCACGAAACCATCCGATTTTACAGCTTCCACCGTTTCGTTCTCATTAAGTTTCCAACAATGATCCAACAGATCTTTCTCTTCATATTTCTCGACCTGCGGTAAGACATGAAACACGCTTGACGCGTCCAGATTCTCTTTGAGGTATACAGAGCACTTTTCGGCCAGTGTCGGTAGCATGTATTTCTTCGCTAAATACAGCACTTCCATAACATTACCAGGGTTAAAGTTTGCCTCGTCGCTGTATATAAAACGGAGTACCTCTAACAGGCTCTCGTACTCACAATCAGGGATCTTAACACAATCTCCCTCTGCCATTTCACCATAAAACATGGCAAAGAACACTGAGCTACTGATTGCTAACACAAACTTATGTGCTGGTATCGTCTTGCTTCCACTTCCGCCTTCGCGACAAACCGCAAATTTCACATCGCTTAATAATTCTTGGTTGAAAATAGCTTTACATCTTTCCTTAATAGTACTTCTTGCTATTGTTTGCCAAAATTCCTCTCTTTCAGGATCCATAGACATGACTGGAATAAATATTGAACAAAAGATACCCCTGGATACAATTCTCAATAATCCTTTCAATGGGAATTTTTCCTTTCGTTTTGGATCACTCTTCATGTTAAACCATCACATAGTCTCCATAACAAAAGAGAGAGCACTTGTTTACATTTGTCTGTCTTTAATATGTCTGTTGTGCACTTGTAGCCTTTATTTATTTATTTATTTATTTTAACAACAACAACAACATCAAATTAAATACAAGTGAAAAGTGACAAAAGAAAGAAAACAACAACAACAAAAAAACAAAAACAACAAAACAAAACAAAATAGCAAATAGCGAAGTTAAAAGGGGGGGAGGGGGTAATCAACAAATGTTTATACAGGGAGGCTCCGCCCAAGGTCCAACCCCTTAACCTTTTATATACCATTTTTCATGAAAATGGTATCCCTTCGTGTACCTTCTATTGACAAATGGTACCACTTTCACATACCTTGTTTAGAACTTTGCATCCCTTTTAACTGCTGTAAATGCACTGTCTTTTAAATAGGAATCAATCACAAAAAGAGAAAGTTTTCTCGACTTTTTAAGGCCATAAAATTCATCTGTTAGCCCTTTTGGGCCCTTTTACCTACCCAACTGACAGATTTCCCAACCCTTTTATATACTTTAACAGGTGAATTCCCTACCTTTTCGTACCCCTGAAGCCTGAAAAAGGTACCCCTTTTGGGCGGAGCCTCCCCATATAGACCATCATAGGGAGTACCCTCCACCCCCACCCCCTCTGGTTAGTAGCAAAGCTGCTAAAGCTTCATGAACTATGTTTCATGAATCTGAGTGATATATCTCATTTAATGATTAATCGTGTTATGATTTATTTTAGGTTATTTTAAAGATCATTGTACTTATACAACGAGGGTAGAATTCTATTTTTCACATATCCATCACATTCCTTACATTGAACTAGATATTTTACATTGGAGACCCAGGGGTAGTTAGTCAGAAACAATGCATGCACTATTTGCTGCGTGGAAGGTAATCCAAGACAGTCTTGGATTACGGATTCCACGCTGTGGGACCAACACGTTCTTGTGGCTCTAGACCATAACTTCCTATTCAGGCGAGTGTAAACAGAAGTTCAGGGAATTGCCCCTTTTTTACCCGTTGAGCCATTCCATCGAGGTTGTAAAATTTGAAGGTAACTCCAGAGCAGTGCATACAAGACTGTCCACCCTTTCCATACCAGGATGGAGGACCACATATGTCCGCTATAAGCCAGTATTTAGAGTTTGCTTTTAACGCGATCGGAGGTTTAAACATTACATCAAATCCTGGATAACTTCCCATTTCACTCTTGATCTGTCTAGGCAAATACTGAGCATCTTTACTTCTAATCAAATCAGAACCATCTGACTGTATTTGCAAGTGCAAACGATATTCTTTGCCTTTGTTACCAAAGAGACGAACTGCACACAGATTTATGTCTTTGTCGCAGGAGAGTCCTATCACATCACAGAACTTGGATGATTCCTTCCAACCTTCCAAAAACGATGAAAACCTATAAACTCGACGCACAAGAGAACCTTTTCTATTTTCTTGTGAAAATTCAAGTGAAGTATTTGGTACAGAGTTAAAATACTTCACCAAGTCGTTAGTCTCTTTGTGGCTAAGTATCCCACTGTCAAGAACAACACTTGCAAACTCTTTCTCCTCCATCACGGGGAAACGTATTCCCTTGACGATCCTTTCTCCCAGAATCCTTCTTTTCACAGATCCTTCTGTTTTGAGGCCTTGCTTTTCACATTCTATTTTCGCCCAGCTATCGACAGCCTTGAACAATTCCACTTCCTTGACATTTAATGAATCTCTCTCTACTAATTCCTCGAGTACTGACCTCTCGATTGTCAAGAAACCGTCCGATTTTACAGCTTCCTCTGTTTCGTCCTCAATATGTTTCCAACAACAATCCAACAGATCTATTTCTTCATATTTCTGGACCTGCGGTAAGACATGAAACACGCTTGACGAGTCTATGTTCTCTTGAAGGTAAACAGAGCACTTGTGGGCCAGTGAAGGCAGCATGTATTTCTTCGCTAAATACAGCACTTGCATCACATTACCAGGGTTTAACTTTGCCTCGTCGCTGTATATAAAACGGAGCACCTCCAACAGGCTCTCGTACTCACAATCAGGGATCTCAACACAATCTCTCTCCGCCATTTCATCATAAAACATGGCAAAGAACACTGGGCTACTGATTGCTAACACAAACTTGTGTGCTGGTATCGTCTTGCTTCCACTTCCACCTTTACTACAAACAGCAAATTTCACATCGCTTAATAGTTCTTGGTTGAAAATAGCTTTACATCTTTCCTTAATAGTACTTCTTGCTATTGTTTGCCAAAATTCCTCTCTTTCAGGATCCATAGGCATGCCTAGAACACCTTTTTGGATACACCTGTCAATAATCCTTAGGAATTTCTCCTTTCGTTTTGGATTAATCTTCATGTTAAACCATCACATAGTCTCCATAACAAAAAAAGTTTACACTTATATGTCAAAATGTCTGTTGTGCACTTGTAGCCTGCGGCGTGACAGGCGCTTGAATTAGGGAAGTGAAAGGGGATTTGCGCGTCCCCGGCGCTCCTCACTCGCCAGAAGGAAGGAGAGAGGACGTTGCATCACATTGGTGATGAGCATCAGCAGACGACGCCCCCAAGCCAAAAAAGACGTTGAACGCCAGAATCGCTCTTTACTCAATTGTCTCCAGGATGCGAGCGCCGAAAAGAAGAATTGCTGACAGAGCTTCCGCGCAAGTTACTTCAGGGCCCACACCCTTCTCTCTAATGTTTGGACGGGAGGTGAGGATCAAACTGCCAGAGTTGAGAAGGGAAACTGTTGATCTTAATAGACAAGGAGTTCATGAGAGAGACTGGTCCAGCAAGTTGAAAGGGAAGGCGTATGCAGAGGAAATGAGGGACGCTGTTTCCAAGTCTATTGAACTCGGTGATGAAGTGCTGCTCAGGGCGGAGAAGTCAAACAAGTTGTCAAGTAACTTCTGCCCTAGCCCTTTCGAAGTTATCCGGAAGACGGGAGAGAGGTTACTGTCAGAGACTACGCCAGATCGGAGATTACCAACCTTGTCCCCAGGGCACTTTTCCCTAGGGACGAGGTTGGAAGATCACATGCCATGCAACTTTCGTGAAGACGTACCATGCCCAGGAAAGTCCCAGCGTAAACGGTCGTGAAAAAGAACGCCTTTGTTCTGGCGAAGAGAAGGTGTTAACCCAAGGATCACCTAGCGCAGAGATAGATGAGGAGGAAGATAAACGAGCAGATGAAATCAACAAAGACACAGAGAGCCATCGACCGCAGGAGAGTATTCGTCGGTCTACGTGTCAGGATCGAAGACCTCCACGATTTGATGACTTTGTTAATGTCGTGGTTAAATCGCTTTTATTTATTTTTTTCAGATGTTGCCTCGTGAAGGAGGTTTAGGACTGATGGACCTGATGGTTTCGCATTAATTTTCCAAAGTTCTGTACATTTTTGTGCGTTGGTTCTGTAAACGTTAGGGTTTTGTTATTTTAAGAAAAGGAAGGGATGTAGTGCCATATCAGCATGCTCTATGGCGATTATTAGTACGAGTTATGGGTATTGACTGTATAGTTGTATGACCATCCACTGGAGTGTCGGATCATTTTACGTTTCTGTGAAACTGCCCACCTACCCCTCCCCTAAGCCAACATTTTGCTCTAAGTAAGAACTAAGTGTTAATGTTGGTTTAGGGGAGGGGTAGGCGGGTGTTTTCCCAGAAACGTCAAATGATCCGGAGTGTCTAATTTATTTGGAAGTCCATCCTATCTTTTACAAGAGCATACATTTCTAATTTTCAAACCGAAGTTAAGAAATAAATCTCCTTTAATACCATTAAGTGCCGTGATTTCTCTTTCTATTTCCACTGATTTAGGTTTGGTACCGTTTGTCTCGATTAGTAAAAAAAAAATTCTCTTTGATTTTCAACATCACGTGGCAAGTCATAAGTGATGAAACATTGAGCCATCTGAGCTGAATTTTATATCTATTCAGAATCATGTATTACTTTCAAAATGAAATCTCTACAATTGCCTGTCATTTCAATTGAACAAGGATCTGTTTATGTTAACGTGCCTACCTATCTAACAGCAATATTACAGGTCTTTGTTCTTTGTGTTTGAACTCCTGATTCAATCGAGTGTAAAAAGAAATTCTGAAAACTGTCCCGTTTCGACACAAGTGGAAACCTCACGCGAGGGGTTGTCAAAGTAAAAGTTGACCCCTGAGTGATTGACCCAGCACTGCCCACCCTCTCCAAACCAGGATGGAGGACCATTTATGTCCGCACGAAACACATATCTAGTATTTGCTTTTAACGCGATCGGGGGCACAAAGTCAATATCAAATCCTGGATAATTTTCCATTTCACTCTCCACGTGCCGGGACAAAAATTTGGCTTCTTTAGTGTCGACGATTACCATCTTATTTTGCTCTACCTTTATACACAAGGTCACACGAAATTCATGGTCTTTGCTACCAAAAAGACGAACTGTGCACAGATTTATGTCTTTGTCGAAGGAGAGTACTATCATATCGTAATATTCGTATGAATGTTCCCAACTTCCATGATACGCCAACGATGGAAATCTGGAAACTCGGTAAGGAGAAACTTTCCGTTTTACTTTACAAAAGTCTGAGTCAAGTGAAGTATTTGGTACAGAGTCGAAAAACGTCACCAAGTCGCACGTTTCTTTCTGGGTCAGTATCCCACAGACCAGAACACTGTCAAACTCTTTCTCTTCCATCACTGGGAAACGAATTCCCTTGATTATCTTTTCTACCAGAATCTTCCTTTTCACAGATCCTCCTGCTATAGGACCTTGCCTTTTACATTCTCTTCCAGCCCAGCAATCGACAGCCCTAAATAACTCCACTTCCTTAACATTCAACGAATCTTTCTGTACTAATTCTTCCAGTACTGGCCTCTCGATTGTCATGAAATCATCTGATTTAATAGCCTCGTCCGTTTCATTCTCGATCACTTTCCAACAATGTTCCAACAAATCTTTGTCCTCATATTTCTGTGCGTGTTACAGGACATGAAACACGCTCGACACGTCCACATTCTCTTGAAGGTAAACAGAACATTTGTTAGCTAGTGACGGCAGCAAGTATTTCTTCGCTAAATACAGCACTTGCATCACATTTTCCGGAGTTAAGTTTGCCTCGTTGGTGTATATGAAAGAGAGGACCTCCAAAAAACTGTCGTAACCACAATCATATAGATCTCGACACAATCTTTGCTCTCTGCCATAGGCACATAAAACATAGAGTAAAACACTGGACTACTGACCGCTAACACGAACTTATGTGCTGCAATCTTCATGCTTTCACTTCAGCTTTGGATTCCACGGAACACAAATTTTACATCGCTCAATAATTCTTGGTTGAAAATAGCCTTACATCTTTCTTCAATGGTACTTTTTGCTGTTGTTTGCCAAAATCTCTCTCTCACAGGGTCAATCGACATTATTTTTAAAATGTCGATTAAATTAAGCTGGGGTTAGGGACTTGTCAGAAATTAGTAGGGGGGGAGGGGAGGTGAAGATTTTCAGTTAAGCGATGAAAATAAAATGACCCTCCCTAGGTGAGGGATTAAAATGTCCCGACCCTCCCCTGGAAAGCGTCCTAAAATTCTAGGACCCTCCCCTGAGTCCGAATTCTTGTGCAGTGGTACAAGGAAAATAATTCAGTACTTTCAAAAAAGCCATCTTGTACTGAAACTGACCTACGATGGACATGCAAGTGTTTGTTCTGTTGGCAAACAGGACAAAAGAAAGTTTTTGGTTTAAGGGAATTATGACAGTTTCTCTTTCACGTAGCCTGAAATTTATCCGATTGCTTCGAGTTGTTTTCTCCTCTCAACAACTGAGGGAGTAATAACGACTTGAAGTAATCGGATGAAATTCAGGCTATCTTTCACGACTATAAGAATCAAAGACGAATAATTTTTGCGAAAAAAAAAAGTTAGACTTCTGAATGTTTTTTCAGTGGAGATCACTTCAAGTGATGCTCAGAAACGGGGGCATGTCACAAAACAGCATGTTATAGAAATGGGTACATTAAAACCTTATCAACCACAATCAAGAAGGAGAAGTTGCCCTTCTACACAAGGAAAATAATGATCAGTATGTCAGGAAATCAGAATTGCATGTCAAAAACATAATATTGAAGCATCCCTTCACGATCGTGGTGGCTTATTTTTTTGTGACCCTCCCTCTTTTCCTGTCATTTTTGTTCATAACCCTCCCTTTTGGAGGGCTCAAAAAACTCTGACCCTCCCCCGTTTTCCACCCCCCTCCCCCCCTGCTAATTTCTGACAAGTCCCTTAGCTGGTTTTTTGCCTTTGGTTAACGGCTTAAGCAAAACTGAAAAGGACCTGATGAAGAAAGGTAAAAACGATTGCGTCATCAATGAATTAAACTTCATCAAGCAAAACATCTAGTACGCTGCTGACGTCAACGCTTGCTCAGTGCTTTACAGTTGGCCGTGGTGTTGTTCCTCACACACATTTCCACTTTACGGTCACACGGGCTGAATATTAGGCAAAACCTATGAAAGGCTATTGACCTCAGTTTCTGTCGGGTTCTCACGAGTATATAAAATGTATACAGTTTGCAGTTATTCAGTGTCCGTAAAGTGAACTGAGTTAACTTTGTGCTACGTTTCACGCGGGTCGCAAAAAGCGCGGCTACTTTTCTCGTTTTATTCATGTTAAGCTTAATGTTATCCCTCCCCCGAGCTCCGCCAGGTTCTGCACTACAGGTGAATTAAAATTACCGAAGCTTTTTCTAGAAAAACCATTATTTTGCCACGGTTTCAAGCTGGACCTCTGTATTTAAAACTAGATCGTAACTCAAGGCCGAGCCTTGCGATACGAACTCAAACTGGCGTTAAACAGGGGACTTCACTCTCAGAACCCATTGTCAGAAAACTCCAAGACGAGGGAAATTAGCTTCGAAAGACTGGCCTCCTCAAGTAAAACATAGCTAATAAGAGAAGTGCGGTGAAATGTACTCAAACAGCAATGTGCATGTGGACTGAATATCAAAGCTATATGGGCGAAAGAGGCAGAGTATCTTTATTAGATTTGCGTAATCAATGGCTTGTTTACGTCCTCGAGAGGAAAATCAAGAACATAAAAGAGCCGAATACGCGACTATCTGCGATCTGCGGCGCGATGGACGACGTAGTGCCAAAAAGTGAAATCTCTGCTAGCAGCTGTGGCGGGAATGACGCGGTGGACACGGGATGATAAATACATCTTACCAGAGAGCCTAATTTCTTCCTTGGAAAGCGAGATGGAGGGCAAACTTTACTAATACAGTCGAAGTTTCCTTGCTACCCACAACCCATTCTAGTGAACTACCGTCATTTAAGCGTTAATACAATGACAACAACCATCTTCCTCACGATACAGGAAAATATAATGTCGGTTACTCACACTCGTTTCAATCCTCAAGCAACAATTTTCAAGAGCTCTTAAGCTGAGGTTAATATCTTATTAGAAGCCCATGCCCCTCCTGACAATGTTTAAAATTGTTACTTATTTTGGTAGTGTCCATTCCAGCACTTACTGTTATGAATTTTTTGAATGCAGTTTTTAAATAATTCATCAATATGAATTACCTCTGCAACTATATTTCAGGTTATACCAGATCAAACACTATTATTACAGCTATTGTTACGAAGTAGATTTTGAAGCCTACATTCCTATATTACAGTCAGTTTATTACTGTGACCTCCAGTTAGCTCAAAATTAATGTCGTAATGACATGGCCATCGCAGCTGTCTTAAAAGTGTGGGGGCTGCTGGTTTTAAAAATGCGTAGGGAAACGGTGAGGGGGGGAAGGGTGAGGAACGGTGAGGGAGTGCCTAGTGGTGATAAGTAACTACGACTATCAGATTTCGTCTAGCTAAAAAAAATGCAACCTTGTTCCCAGAATTCCCTCCTACCCGCTGTCCGTAGGGCGGGTAGGAGAGAACCCTGGGAACGAGGTTGAAAAAAATGATATTAACGCCGAAAAATGATTCAATGTGTTTTCCACTATTCGAGATAGTCATACAGCATAAAATTTGCTTCGTACTAGAATGCCGACTCCTTGTTCATCATTTACCCCATTCTCGGCTGGGAATTGTATAAAATAGGATGCACAGAGCTAAGAGTGATCTTCCGTTTAGAATATCTACTTCATGATGAAAAGCCTTTTTATCAAAACAACCATGAGACAATGGCTGCATGATATTATTAATTGTCTTAATTTGATCATAATGTTCGTCCTGATCAGGATCAAACTAATACAAGAAAACTCAGTGAACAAAGAAAGAATAATAGTCTCTTTTGGTTCGGACTTGTAGTGTTTCAAAGATCGATTAACTCCATCAGCCATAGCATCAGAAATAAAACAAAATTGAATTATGTGTTGTCCCTCAACGATAGTTAGCCAAATACCACACGAGCAGAGGCTACTTTTACTTTGTACCCTAGTTCACATCAAGTAAAAGTAGGCGCTGCTCGATAGCAGGCCAAGGGCAATGTTTACACAGACCTTTTTGGCAATGTTTGGCCGCTTAGGGGAAATTTGTCCCAATTAATGAAAGAAGCGATTTTAGACATATTTTATGGCATATTTTTGTGATTTTCTATCTTTGTTTACGGCGTTTACCTCGGGTTGCAGGTAACTTAAGCGGCTACATTTTTGCTAAGGGCGGGAACCGTCTGGCTCGTTTCCCTCTGCGGGTCCTGGGATGTGGTCCAAATGTCTTCAAGATGTCCCCGCAAGCCCTGATGGCGAGAGCCATAGCAGTGTTGGTTGGATTACAGGCGGTTCCCGTGGGAATCACTCCACATGACCCAATATAGAGGTTCTTGTAACCCCAAACTTTGGAGTATGGATTCACGACACTTTTTCCATCATCTTCCTCACCCATACGACATGTACCCTATTGTAATTAACAAACAATAAAAAAGAACTTTTTTTTAAAAGCTTTATATTATAATAAAATTATCTGCGTCAATAGTTTTTCATCAGTGGCCGTTGGTCACTGTTTTTGATCACAAGGCATTGAGCGCACTCTAACAAAAACTGTCTTTTGATATTCTTTGATAGACCTTGGACGTAACAGTGAGAAGTTGGAAAATGTGAATATTAAACAGTTTTGCACACTTCAACCAAAGACTGACGTTTTTTTTTTGTTTGCTATATTTTTATTAGCAATTCATCTCGAGCCACAGCACAATGATTAACAGCAACGAGAAATTAGAAAACATCATTTGGAAAAATGGTGCAAATAGTTGTAGGCACTATTAGGCACATAATGAGATAAAAATGCTAATTACGTTTTATAAAGCTTTCAAGGGGGACATGCGTGGGTCCTAAAAATTTCTCCCTTCGCCCTAAAAAAAACCGGCGCTCAACTATCTTTTCTGATATTAACTTTCACTTGTATGAACCTTTTATGCCAGTTTAGTAGACTGTGTGTATATCATTTCAAGCCGAAGTTAAGTTTAGCAAAGTCTTGTACTTACAGTTATGTGGAGGGCTAAGCCAGGCTTTTGAAATGAAGGCTCTGAGCCAGGAAGGAACCCACCAAGAGCAGTGGCTGCCTTGCACATATCAGTCATCATCTTGTGAACTTCGTCGCCTTCTTCCTTTGTCATTTTGAAGTGGAAAGTTGGCTGAGGCATTCCAAATGTGTCTCTGTTTGTGTGTGAGAACGTAACACAATTTTCATAACGTGGGTTGACCTTTCCAAACCAACGCAAGTCAACAATTAGTCGAGTATCAATGTTAGGAGCAACCTCTCCATATGAGAAAGCATCTCGGTGGACTTGGCAGTGCCACGGACGGTTTTCTGAGACTGGAATCCAACACTGTGTAGACACACAGAGTAGAGAAAGTGAGTGAGTAATCATGCACCGTTTAATCTTCATGTACAATGTATTCCGACGAGCAACTACGCAGCAAAGCTGTTTGTTATAAGTATAGTTACAATTACAATCATGATTGCCTTCAGATTCAAGTAAAGCCTGTTGTGAAGGGGTTAAAATTGATATATAGTCGAATTTTTTTAACTTGCCGGATGTCTAGATCAAGAAATACTACAGCTGAATAAACCACTGCCTTGGCTTTTCATTGAAAACGAGAAATCCAGCTATTTAGAAAGATTATATCTAGGCCAGTCAACAGCAGGGAGTTTACAATTTCTTGTTATCATTTTTTTTTATCTTATACCTGTGGTGTGGGATCTTCGAGCGGAATAGGAATGGGATCTTCTGGGTTCTTCGCTTTGTGTTGATGAACTTTCTCTTTCCATTCTGGACGGCTCTTGATGCTATCCACAATTTCTTGCTTCAGAACAATCTGACAGAAAGCCATGGGTTGCTCACAGAGGTAGTGCCCAAGGGCCTCAGGTTCGATTTCTGAATTAAACAGGATTTGTGGTGTAAGAATAGCACCTCCAGCCAGGACAAATACTTTGGCATAAACACGGTATCTCTTCTTTTCTAGGAGATCCTTCACAATTGCAAACCAAATGCTTTCTCCATCATCAGTAGGGACCACCTTCTCACACTGCCACTCAGACTACATATATCATAGTGCAGTAAAAACAAATGTTAGGCATATATTTATCAGTTATCTTCATTATCAAACACTGATAACCAATCCGGGTGGTACTTCCGACAGAAGTTAAAAGGGATGCAGCGTTCTGAACTAGTATGTGGTACCATTTGTTAGTTAAAGGTATACGAAATGGGCTACCTTTTCTGTCCAGAATGCTTTATAAAAGGTTTAGACCTCGGTGCGGAACCTCCCCGTATAAAATTTTGAGGAGTTGCCCCCCCCCCCCCCCCCCCCCGCACAACAACTCTCAAACGACGCCACCCCTCCTTTTTTTTCACAAATCACCACCTTTTTTTTTTTATTAACACTCCCCCCCAAAATTTTTTCGTTCTCTCCCCAAGCTCAACCCCACTCTCTTTTTCCTCCACACAACAACACGTATATTTTTGCGCTGGTTTTTAAAGGATTCAGCGTTTTGAACTAGTATGTGGTACCATTTTTTTGTTAAAGGTATACAAAATGGGCTACCTTTTCTTTCCAGAATGCTTTATAAAAGGTTTAGACCCCGGGGCGGAACCTCCCCGTATAAAATTTTGTGGAGTTGCCCCCCCCCCCCCCAGGTAACTAATGCACATTTACCAACCTTCAGTCGTATCTTTGAGCAATCTCCAGACTTGATGTCTTTGACCAAATCTTCACCAAGAATTGTGTCGCTTCCTGACCACATTACAAACTCCTTTTTCTTCCTAACACCAGCAAGAGGTAGATTTTGTGGGAGGTATTTACTTCCAGTTATCTCTCCCTCGTACGTTTCGTTCAAGACTTCTTTTACTATTGTATTACGAATGGAATTCTGAAACAAATCGTCGGTTTTCTTCAAAAGCTTCTCAGATTCTTCATAAAGGAACTGCCATTCTTCGTCGTCAATGATTGAACTTCTTTCAACTTTAGGATGTTGGCGTGGAACAGCCGCAGTCCAGTGGGTAGCCATTCCTCCTACAGCACATGTTGCTGCGGCATCAGGAAGGTTGTCATATGGTAATTGGTCAGGGTTTTGACCATCCTTCACAAATCTATAAGAAAGGGAAAGATAATTGATACAATTAGAACCAGTCGCACATGGTGCAAATCTAGAATCCAGAATTTCATTTGGCGAGAGATTCGAGTTGTTGAAGATTACAGCAAATGTATTTGGCTCGGCAGTTGGCATAAGTGGGCTTAAATTACGTTAGCCGTATATGTATTCCGGATTTTAAACAAGCGCAAGCGTAGAATTGAAGTAAAGAATTGAAATTTGTTGGACTTTGTTTTTCGAATGTAAATTCCCAAGGAAACCTCATTTTGTGCTTGGCATACTATATACACGACGTGATTCTTTCATGATTATCCACTAACAACAGAAATAACATGTTATGTGTACAATACAGGTTTTATAATCCCTCAGTTATCACAGGTAGATACAAGATGAAATGACCATGTAAGTAAAGACATCTTCACAACGTTTGCGATACTTAATATTTAACGCAGCTCATGACTGTCATCGTGATCAGCAATATTTGTTCTTTCAAATTTACGTTTTAATTAGATACGTTGTAAATGTTAAAGTAAATTAGTTGCTAGTCAAAACTAGGTGTGACATGGTGCTAGTCTCATCGTTGCAATTGAATGCTGGAGAAAAAGGTCAAAATTCAGTGCGATAAATAATCATGTACTACCCATGGTATATGTTTGGATCATAGGTGAATGCTCCAGGATCTAGAGTAGGAACTGCACTATCATCTGGTGGTATGGAGAGCGGACGTAAATGACCCTTGATAACACCAGTAAAGAGGTTCACATTACGCTGATACAGAAAGGAGTTCTTCAAATGTGCTCCTGGTTCTGGTGACAGTTGTGCTCCAGCATCAATTATAAACACTCTCATGCCTCCTTCCACGAGTTTGCGAGCAAACGTGCAGCCCAGGGGTCCGGTTCCGACGATCAGAACGTCGGTTCTTATCGTCTCTGGACCATCAGGTTGGTTGGACATTTTTACAGGGTACCGATAGAGTAAAGAGATCTTTTCACTTACACTTTCGGCGCAGAACTGTTTTTCTTTTAACAATGCCCAGTATTTATTCTTCCTTTATTCTAAGCATCACGAAATGATTGACATGCTGCAACCATCCGAAGAGCAACGTTTAATGCCCTGGACGCACCATTAGAGCTCAAGTACCTTATTTACTTAACCCTCTTCCACCTCCAACAACGCTGAACCTTGTTACAATCCGTTCCACCGACTAAATATAAATAGAGTGTTTGCA